GCTGGTAAGTGACGGGGCGGCGGTGTCGGTCGGCGTTGCGCTTAGCGATGACGTTTGATTTTTTTATTGCTTCTGCTGCTCGGGTCCGTGCTGCTTGTAATATTTCTGCGAATTGTTGCGCGCGTGGGACTGGGCTGTCGGGATTCGGGGTCATGGGTACTGTGGGGTCTTGTCCGTAGTTCAGGTAAAACGGTGACTGTTGGGTCGTGGCGGATGGTGAGTTGTTGTATGCGAATTCGATGAGTGGCAGTTGCTGTTCCCATGTGGTTGGGTCGTCGCACGTGGCCCGGATGAGCTGTTCCATGGTCTGATTTGTCCGTTCTGTCTGTCCGTCGGTTTCGGGGTGGTATGATGAACTGAATTGTAGTCGCGTGCCGAACTGCTGCCACAGGTTCCGCCAGAAGTTGCTGGTGAATTTCGTGTCTCTGTCGCTGATGATCGATGCTGGTATCCCGTGCAGTCGTACGACGGTGGAGATGAAGAGGCGGGCTGTTTCTTCGGCTGTGATGGATTTCTTGCAGGCTGCGAAGTCTGCCATTTTCGTCAGTCGATCGACGACGACCAGGATCGCATCGTTCCCACTCGCTCCGGCCGGTAACCCCGTGACGAAGTCCATCGTCACCTGCTGCCAAGCACGCTCTGGGGGTGGTATCGGCTACAACTGTCCTGCCGGCCGCTTCCTTGATGACTTCATGATCTGGCAGGTGGGACACGATGCCACGTGTCGTTGAACGTCGGTCAACATTTCGGGCCAGTAATAATATCGCTGCAGCTGCTGCCGTGTTTTTTCTACCCCGAAATGCCCTGAGGTAACTCCGTCGTGTGCCTCCTGTAACAGTAATTCCCGTAGCAGTGTGTATCCTGGTACCCAGATGCGGTCGGTCCCGGCTTTTACGTAGTAGACTCCCTTGGCTGCTGCGAACTGCTGCGAATTTCCTCCTGTGAAGAATGGGTCTGTTTGGTATCCGTGGGTAAATAGTCCTGTCAGTAGCGGGCTGGTCTGGGCGAGTAGTATCGCGTGGATCTGGGCAGTGGGGCGGGTCAGTGCGTCGGCGATGTTCGAGGCTCCCTTTTTATAGGTGACCGTGTAGTGGAAATTGGACTCGAGGAAATCGAGCCAGCGAATCTGTCGTGGGTTGAGGTGGGGCTGTGCGCGGAGGTACTGTAGTGATCGGTGGTCTGTCCGTACTGTCACGTCTGCGCCGGTCAAGTAACAGCGCCACACTTTGAACGCATGCACGATCGCGAGCATTTCGCGGTCGTGTATCGGGTAGTTTTTCTCGGGAGGATGCAGTTTTCGTGATTCGTATACGATGGGCTGTAGGCCGTTGCCGAAATCCTGTAGCAGTACGGCTCCGATGGCGATGTCACTTGTGTCTGTAACAACTTCGAAGGGGCGGTGTGGGTCGGCAATGCGCAGGACGGGCGGTGAACAGAGAACATTTTTCAGGGCAGAGAAGGCAGCATGCTCTTTCTCCCCCCACGTAAAAACGACCCCCTTTCGCAGTAAATCCGTCAGCGGGGCGGTCAACTGTGCCATGTCGGGGACGAACCGACGGACATAATTAACGAACCCTAAAAAACTCTGCAGCTCCGTGATGTTCATCGGGGGGTGCCACGCTTTTACCGTATCCAGCTTCTTTGGGTCGATTTCAACCCCAGCCTCCGAAATGACGTGCCCCAGAAATTCTAACCTATCCTGGAAAAACTCGCACTTGGAACCCTTGGTCAGGAGGCGATGCTCGTCTAAAACCTTAAAAACCGCTTCCAGGTCTGCTAAATGCTGCTGCTTATCCCGGCTGTAGACGAGGATGTCGTCGAGGTAAACTATCACGCATTTATCTAAAAGTGGCCTAAACGCCTCGTTCATGGTCATCTGAAATGTCGCCGGTGCGTTGGTCAGTCCGAATGGCATCACCGTGTATTCGAATGATCCGTACCTTGTCCTAAAAGCTGTTTTGGCGCAGTCCGATGGTTCGACCCTAATCTGATGGTAACCTCCCCGTAAATCTATTGTCGAAAACACTCGTGCTGTTCGCAGTTGGTCAATCAGTTCGTCGGCGCGGGGGATGGGGTACCGCGACTTGACTGTTACCCTGTTGAGCGCTCGGTAATCGATGCACATGCGAAACCCTCCGTCTTTTTTCGGCGTGAACAGTATCGGTGCGGCGAACGGTGACGAACTCGGTCGGATAAACTGCTTCTCTAACAAATAATCTAACTGCTTCCTCAGTTCGTCGAGCTCGGGCTGGGTCAGTCTGAACTGGCGCTGTACGGTTGGTTGTGCCCCCGGTTCTAATTCTATCCTATGATCGTGCGCCCGCTGAGGTGGCAGCCCCTCCGGTAAGTCGTCGGGAAAAATCCCCTGGTACCGTTTCAACAGGTCTTGTAGTTCGGGCGGTACTGCTGCTAACAGTTTCTGAAAATCGTTCGGCTGCTCTGTTTCTCCTACAACTGCAATGTCCACTGCGTACACGTCAGCTCCAGTGGCGACTGCCCGTTTCATCGTGATGGCGTTGACGTGGACCGTTGAAGACTCAGGCGACTGCCGGCGGGGTAGTTCGACCCAGTTACCACTACTTCGCACGGTGCAGCTTCCTGTCGTCCAGTCAATTCGCGGGTTGTAACGTCGCAGCCAATCACGCCCCAGTAAAATGTCGTGCCCATCCAATGTCGTCGCAAGCATTTCCTGTGTGAATCCGAAGTTTCCCCCGCAGCGAACTTTTACCCTTTCCACCTTCTCTCTTATGGCCAGCGGTGTGCCGTCAACTAAGCGTGCGTCGATCTCTGGTAAGCACCCGCTAAGTGTCAGTTGCAGTTTCCTTGCAGTTGCGGTATTAACTAAACTGTGGCTTGCTCCTCCGTCGATAAATATATTCACTGCTGCTCCCTGTATTTTCCCGTGGATCAGTACTGGGCAATCCGTCGTTGTACCCTCCTTATTCGTCCGAGCCCGATCGATGGCGTGAATCGGTACTGTGACTCGGTGAGGGTCGGTGTGGTTGGGCGAGCAGGCAGTCTCGTCAGTAGTTGGCCCGACTTCTACTGACTGCTGGCGTTTCCCTGCCTCTGAGACTCCCTCCCCTGCTCTGCTCCGCGGCGCCTCAGCTCCTCTGGGCATTCGCTCTTGCGATGCCCCGGCCTGTTGCAAGCAAAGCAGCGCCCCTTAAACGGCGCGGCAGCTGCATTCGTCGCAACGGCGTGTACAGTGGCGTGCTCGATCGGTCCCCGAGGACGATGTCCGTAGTAGGACCCCGGTCTCGGTCGGCGTAGAATGTCGATTTTCTCGGCGAGCGCGAGAATCTCGTTGAAGTTCGAGAGTCCGCGTAGCATGATTTCGTGCGAGATGTCCGGCTTCAGCCCTCCAACGTAACGGTCCACCCGCTCCGCTTCGTGCATGTAGCCGACTTGCTCGCAAAGTGCGAGAAAACCGCTCGTGTAATCTTGAACCGACCCGAGCTGCCGCCAAGTGCGCAATTTCTGACGCGCCGAAATAGAAGCCGCGATCGGCTCGAAGCGCGCCCGAAGTCCTGCGCACCACGCATCCCACGTGCTGTATTGGGCGGTCTCGCAAAATGAACTCCAGGTGACAGCTGGAACCGTGGGCCCTTCCTCTTGCGACGGTGGCTCGTAGGCGCGTGGCGACGTCACGATGACTCGCCACCAGTCCATGGCGGGGCCCCTCAGCAGCGAAACGGCGTACCGAATCTTCGCTGCGTCCGACTCGACGTAATTCGCGTCGAAGAAGACGTTCATCGTGAAGACCCACGATTGAACCGTCGGACCTCCACGCTGGCTCGGGTCGAAACAGGGCGGGCGTTGCGGCTTGAGTGGCATTGGTGCCATAATGGCCTGTTCGCCACTTGTCGCCGCGAACTCCACGTGCCGACGGGCTTCGCGAGGCTCCCGTGGGCTTGGCGCGACCCTGTTTCCTCCCATGCCAGGCATTGGTTGGGCGGCGCTATCACTGGCTGCACCTGAGCGCTGTCCCACGCTGTCGTGTTGCGTTGGTGTGCCTGATGAGATGACGATCGGTTCTTCTGATTGCGCAGGTGCATTTGCGGGTGCTTGTGATGGAGCTGGTGCATTCACCGTTGATTGCTGACGGGCGGAGTCACGTTCCGCCGTGAGGGTCGCGATTTCGAGTGCCGAATCTTCAACTTGGCGCACCAGACGGTCGAGCTGTTCCTGCGTCAAGGTCGCGAGATTGAATTCGGCCATGGTGGGGGTGTCGGGCGAGCTCAGCGAGAGCCTCAGTCGTGGCCGCGCGTGCTTACGAGAGAGCACTACGAACGGCGGTGCTGTGTCGCTGAGGGACGTCTACCCCCCCCAAAAAAAATGAGATAGTGGGGAAGCGAAGGTGTGGGTGCGGTCCGAGAAGAGATCGTAGGCTCTGAATACCAAGTGTTACGAGTGCAATTGAGTGAGCGAACGAGAATTGCACTATCGAAGCAAGAGTACAATGAGCGAAGGCATGAGCGAAGAATATATAGCGAAACTACAGTGGTAACGGTAATGCGTGGAAATTGGTTGTGCGCGACGGGCCTGGCGCCGAGGTTGGGAAGTGTCGAGGCGGAGGTCCGGAGCGCGGGTTACCAACCGAACCGTGAGGTTGGGTCGCGTCGTGAACAGTGGCGGGAATGGTGTCGAAGCGAGTGTCGCGAGTGGTAACGGATTACTGTTGGGTGCTGTTGGCGGGAACAGTGGTGTACGCGCTGAGTAGGGACGCGAAGTAAGGAAAAGGAAATTTCCTTACAGTTACACGCCCTAACATGTCTGGGGTGATCCAAACAGCCTGACAAGACCTAAGGGAAGAAAATCCTCGAGCACTGAGAGATTCGAACTCTCGCGGGCAGAGCCCATGTACTTAGCAGGCACACGCCTTAACCACTCGGCCAAATGCTCTTGTTTCGCTCCCGTCAGTACTAAAAACTTTCACGGACAAATGTTTTCAAGGCCTCACCACCTCCTTTCCGTTTTGAATCTTACAATCAGCAGCAATGGCTGCGAACGAACGGATGCTTATGTTCCGTTGGTCGCGGCACGGCGTGCCGCTCGTCGCGTTGCTCCTCGTCGTCGTCGCGACGCTCACGCCGCTCGCAGTCAGTCGGCCCACTCCTCTAACGGATACTCGTCTCGAAGAAGCTTCTCTGAACTTGCGATCGTCACAGGTGGAACTGCCTTGGCCTTTTTTAGGTGTAGCGTGAATCCTTCTTGATTTAGCTTATTGCTGCACCGCCTGCTTTTTTTTAGTACAGCATAACACGGATTAGACCTTCCAAGAGCTGTTTAGAGCTGGTCGACACAACTACGCACTGTAGTTGCCATTTCCGCTCCACCTCCATCTCCTTCGACAATTCACTAATAAATTTGTGCATTGATCTCGCCGACCTGCTTTCGGCGTTCCGATTTCACTTCCCAGTTCATTTCCCCTTGTGTCGTTCGTTCCTACCCTTTCTGATCGCGGCAATCCCAAGGCCGACGTCCGTCATCCCTCTTTTGCCTTTTTTTCTTCTGTCGTCTCACCTTCCTGATCTCGGCAATCCCAAGGCTGAGAGCCTTCCTTCATCCCGCTTTTCTTACACTCTCTCCCCCATGATTTCTCTCTCCCCCATGATTTCTCTCTCCCCCATGATTTCTCTCTCCCCCATGATTTCTCTCTCCCCCATGATTTCTCTCTCCCCCATGATTTCTCTCTCCCCCATGATTTCTCTCTCCCCCATGATTTCTCTCTCCCCCATGATTTCTCTCTCCCCCATGATTTCTCTCTCCCCCATGATTTCTCTCTCCCCCATGATTTCTCTCTCCCCCATGATTTCTCTCTCCCCCATGATTTCTCTCTCCCCCATGATTTCTCTCTCCCCCATGATTTCTCTCTCCCCCATGATTTCTCTCTCCCCCATGATTTCTCTCTCCCCCATGATTTCTCTCTCCCCCATGATTTCTCTCTCCCCCATGATTTCTCTCTCCCCCATGATTTCTCTCTCCCCCATGATTTCTCTCTCCCCCATGATTTCTCTCTCCCCCATGATTTCTCTCTCCCCCATGATTTCTCTCTCCCCCATGATTTCTCTCTCCCCCATGATTTCTCTCTCCCCCATGATTTCTCTCTCCCCCATGATTTCTCTCTCCCCCATGATTTCTCTCTCCCCCATGATTTCTCTCTCCCCCATGATTTCTCTCTCCCCCATGATTTCTCTCTCCCCCATGATTTCTCTCTCCCCCATGATTTCTCTCTCCCCCATGATTTCTCTCTCCCCCATGATTTCTCTCTCCCCCATGATTTCTCTCTCCCCCATGATTTCTCTCTCCCCCATGATTTCTCTCTCCCCCATGATTTCTCTCTCCCCCATGATTTCTCTCTCCCCCATGATTTCTCTCTCCCCCATGATTTCTCTCTCCCCCATGATTTCTCTCTCCCCCATGATTTCTCTCTCCCCCATGATTTCTCTCTCCCCCATGATTTCTCTCTCCCCCATGATTTCTCTCTCCCCCATGATTTCTCTCTCCCCCATGATTTCTCTCTCCCCCATGATTTCTCTCTCCCCCATGATTTCTCTCTCCCCCATGATTTCTCTCTCCCCCATGATTTCTCTCTCCCCCATGATTTCTCTCTCCCCCATGATTTCTCTCTCCCCCATGATTTCTCTCTCCCCCATGATTTCTCTCTCCCCCATGATTTCTCTCTCCCCCATGATTTCTCTCTCCCCATGATTTCTCTCTCCCCCCCCTCCCCGCCCACCCCCACCCCGCCCCCCCCCCCCCCTCCCCCCCCGCCCTCTTTCCCCCCCCAATCCCTCTGTTTCTCAGGACATTCTCGGCAATCCCGATGTCGATACACGTTCTAGGTCACCCCCAGTGGGAACAGAATCGTTGGGCGGCGGATCAGATCTCCGCGCCTCCTCGTCGCATCCAATCAGATCTCTCGCGACTGTCGAACTAGAGGTGTCTCAGCAACGACCAATCAGATCTCTCGCGCGGAGCCCCATTGACGCGGAAGAGGTGGAAGACGAGGCGGAGATCCCCGCGGAGATCCCGTCCGGTAGGGTCGGGGAAGGCCCCACCGACGCGGGATTGCCGGAAGAAGAGGGCGCGGCGGACATTGCGGAAGCGGAGATTGATCCGCCGAGGAAAACCGTCAATAAGAAGAAAAGCGGTGTGGGTGGTCCAGGCAGGGGGGGAGAAGACGACTTGGGGGAGGAAGCGGAGGAGGAAGCTGCGGCGGAGGCGGAGGTTGGGGGGAAGAAGCGGAAGGGGGATGTGACTGGGGAAGGGGCGACGAAAGGCGGGGCTACTGGAAAGGGGGCGGGAGTGGTGGGGGAAGAGGCGGAGGAGGGGGAGGAAGAGGCGCAAGCAGAGGGAGCGGGAGGAAAGACCCCTTCAGGGAAAGGAGCAGCAGCGGCAGCAGAAGCAGCAGGTGCGGGGAAAGTGGGTGTTGGGAAATCTGGGGCAGGAGGGGAAGGGGGAGCAGGAGGCGGGTTGCCAGGCAGTGGGGGGGGGAGCACGCGCAAGACAGCAGCAGACAGAGACGCGGAGGCGAGGGGGGAGGCGGAAGGGGAGGGGGAAGGGGAGGGGGAAGGGGAGGGGCTGGCGCAGGGGCTGGGGAAGGGGAAAGGCAACGGGGGAGGGGGTTTAGACGCGGAGGGGGAGACGAAGGCGGTAGGGGAGCCTATAGAGCAAGCATCATTGGGGGATGAAGGGGGTGGACTTGGGGAAGGGGTTGGGGGGATCCCTGGAAAGGGCGCGGGGGCGAGAGGTGGGGGGATTGCGGGGGAGAGAGGCGGGGATGGTGCTGGGGGCATTGGTAGGGAGGGTGCTGGGGGGTTGGGCGTGGAAGGGGATGAGGAGGGAGGTGGGGAGGGGGGCGCGGAAGGGGGAGCGGAAGGGGGGGCGGAAGAGGAGGAGGGAGCAGCGACGGTGGATGAGCAGCCATGGGCGGAGGGGCACCCAAAGGGAAGGGCGGGCGAGGGGGAGGCGGAGGGGGCGGGGGGGAAGGTAGGGGGAGAGGGTGCGTTTGGCGCAGATAGGGGTGGTGGTGCTGGTGGTGCTGGTGCTGCTGGTGGTGCTGGTGGTTCTGGCGCTGACACTGGTGGTGGGAAGAGCGATAGCAGCAGCAAGGGCGCTTTTTCTGGGGAAACCGACCAAGCCCCCTCGTCTGGTAACCAGGTTACCACACCTGAAACCACCACTCCGCCCCCCAGCAGCAGCAGCAGCAGCAGCAGCAGCAGCAGCAGCACCAGTGCCACTGTCCTGCTGTCCATCAAACGAGCCCTGATCCAGCTCTTAAAGCCCTTGATCATTTCCACTATGGCCACCATCTACCCTTTCGTTGGCGCGGCAAACGCGGAAACTTTCGCAGTTTACCTTGTGCTAGGGGCATTTACCCTGGCAATTCTGGGTTCCCTGGTGGTAATCATAGCCTGCTTCTGCTGCTGCAGGACCAGGCATGGGGAAGGGCCTTTGTATCAGAGCGTTGCTGGGGCGGAGGGGGATACAGGGAGTGGGTTTGGACGCAAGGGGGCCGGTGTGGTTGGGAGTAGGGGATCGGAAGAGCAGTGGGACTGGGACGAGGAGGACGGGGATGGGGATGATTGGGAGAGAGTGGGGAGGGAGAAGAGCGGAGGAGGGGGAGGAGGGGGGAGGGGTGCAATGGAGGTGGAGGTTCGATCACCTACTAGCAGTTCCTTAAAGCTGGGAGGAGGGTCTAAGTCCCCTTTTGGTGCTGCGGGTGGTGGCGGCGGCAGCAGTAGCAGCACTGGCAAGCCTTTGTTTCTCAAACCGGCTGTCACCTCTGTTTCTCCTACTGCTGGTGCTCTTGCCTCTGCCCCTGTCGCTGCCCCTCTTGCTGCTGTTTCTCTTCCTGCTGCTGCTGCCTCTGTAATTGGCGCTGGCAACGGTGTTACCAGCACGGTTACCAGCATCAGCAGCACTGGTGTAACCAGCGCCGCCAGTGGCAGTGCCATGAGCAAGAAACCAGTGCGGACAGGATGGGTGGATGAGGAGGAGGAGAAGGAGGAGGACGACATTGGGTGGGGGGAGCTTGGATCTTCGCTTGGTTTTGGGGGAAGCAGCACTTCTGGAAGCAAGAAAGGAGTGAGAGGGAAGGCAATTGGGAGTGCTGGTAAGAGTGGGTCAACAGTAACAGCAGCTAAGAAAAAGCAAACGACGAGCAAACTTGTGGTTGCAAAAGCGAAGAGCGGCGGAGGGGAGGAGGATGAAGATGGTTGGGATTTTGACGATTAGAGCTTGTGAGACTTTTTTGTAAGGAACCTTGTAAAGAGTCCTTTCATGTTTGTCCGGCTGTCCAACTGCCAGTGTGTGTGGTCTAGGGTTGCTTAGAGTGTGATATTGATAGCATTAGAGTTATTCTGCATTATCATGTTAAAAGCAAACCTTCGTAGCGAAATAAACCATCAAGCCTGTGGTTGGATTATGGCCTCGACATTGAATGCTGTTTAGATGAAGGGAAACGCTAGATTGTTGTGGCTGCGCTTGTCTCGGCCTATTGCCAAGCCACCAAGGGCGTGGGTGGGTTGCAAGCATCATCGGTCATCGGTGCTCGCGAATGAGGAGTGCCCGCTGCACTTTCTGCACATGTGCGGATCCTTTCGCGTTTTGGGGCTGGAAGCGCTCGTTCCGAGCGTTTTTCTTCCGCCGGGTCACGTGGCTGCGCTTGTCTGGGCCTATTGCCAAGCCAGCAAGGGCGTGGGAGGGTTGCGAGCATCATGGGTCATCGGCGCTCGCCAATGAAGAGCGCCCGCTGCACTTCCTGCACATGTGCGGATCCTTCCGCATTTTGGGGCTGGAAGCGCTCGTTCCGAGCGTTTTTCTTCCGCCAGGTCACGTGGCTGCGCTTGTCTGAGCCTATTGCCAAGCCAGCAAGGGCATGGGAGGGTTGCAAGCATCATTGGTCATCGGCGCTCGCCAATGAAGAGCGCCCGCTGCACTTCCTGCACATGTGCGGATCCTTCCGCGTTTTGGGGCTGGAAGCGCTCGTTCCGAGCGTTTTTCTTCCGCCAGGTCAAGTGGCTGCGCTTGTCTGGGCCTATTGCCAAAGTAGCAAGGGCGTGGTTAGGTTGCAAGCATCATCGGTCATCGTCGCCTCGCGAATGAAGAGCGCCCGCTGCACTTCCTGCACATGTTCGGATCCTTTCGCGTTTTGGGGCTAGAAGAGCTCGTTCCGAGCGTTTTTCCTCCGCCGGGTCACGTAGCTGCGCTTGTCTGGGCCTATTGCCAAGCCAGCAAGGGCGTGGGTAGGTTACAAGCATCATCGGTCATCGGCGCTCGCGAATGAAGAGCGCCCGCTGCACTTCCTGCGCATGTGCGGATCCTTCCGCGTTTTGGGGCTGGAAGCGCTCGTTCCGAGCGTTTTTCTTCCACCAGGTTACGGGGCTGCGCATGTCTGGGCCTATTGCCAAGGGGGCGTGGGTGGGTTGCAAGCATCATCGGTCATCGGCGCTCGCGAATAAAGATTGCCCGGCCCGCTGCACTTCCTGCACATGTGGGGATCCTTCCGCGTTTTGAGGCTGTAAACGCTCGTTCCGAGCGTTTTTCTTCCGCCGGGTCACGTGGCTGCGCTTGTCGGGACCTATTGCCAAGCCAGGAAGGGCGTGGGAGGGTTGTGAGCATCATCGGTCATCGGTGCCCGCGAATGAAGAGCGCCCGCTGCACTTCCTGCACATGTGCGAACTTTTCTGTGCGTGCGAAACAATCTGAAGTTTCTCTGGTAGGTGTATTTGAACATGGGCCACCCGAATATGCAACAATATTCGGGTCTTTGGATGCTTTTGCCTACGCCTATAGGGATCCATGCGCTTTCTTAGCATTTGTCGGCAGGCACGGCCGTCTTCGCGGGCGCCGAACTTTTCTGTGCGCGCGAAACAATCTGAAGTTTCTCTGAAAGGTGTATTTGAACATGGGCCACCCGGATATGCAACAAAATTCGGGTCGTTCGATGCTTTTCCCTACGCCTATAGGGATCCATGTGCTTCATTAGCACTTGTGGGCAGGCAGTGCCGCTATCGCGGGGCGCCGAACGTTTCTGTGCGCGCGAATTAAGCTTAAGTTACTCTGGAAGGTGTATTTGAACATGGGCCACCCGTATATGCAACAATATTCGGGTCGTTCGATGCTTTTCCTTAGGCCTATAGGGATCCTTGCGCTTCCTTAGCACTTGTTGGCAGGCACGGCCGTCATCGCGGGCGCCGAACTTTTCCGTGCGTGCGAACCAAGCTGAAGTTGCTCGAATATGTGTATTTGAACATGGGCCACCCAAATATGCAACAACATTTGGGTCGTTCGATGCTTTTCCCTACGCGTATAGGGATCCATGCGCTTCCTTAGCATTTGTCGGCGGGCACGACCGTCATCGCGAGACGTCGAACTTTTCGTGCGCGCGAACCAAGCTGAAGTTGCTCTGGAACGTGTATTTGAACTCGGGCCACCCGAATATGCAATAACATTCGGGTCGTTCGATGCTTTTCCCTACGCCTATAGGGATCCATTTTCTTCCTGCGCATTTGTTGGCAGGCACGACCGTCATCGCGGGCGCCGAACTTTTCTGTGCGCGCGAACCAAGGTGAAGTTTCTCTGGAAGGTGTATTTGAACTCGGGCCACCTGAATATGCAACAACATTCGGGTCGTTGGATGCTTTTCCCTACGCATATAGGGATCCATGCGCTTCTTTAGCATTTGTCCGCAGGCACGGCCGTCATCGCGGGCGCCGAACTTTTCTGTGCGCGCGAACCAAGCTGAAGTTGCTCTGGAAGGTGTATTTGAACATGGGCCACCCGAATATGCAACAAGATTCGAGTCGTTGGATGCTTTTCCCTATGACTATAGGGATCCATGCGCTTCCTTAGCATTTGTCGCCGGGCACGGCCGTCATCGCAGGCGCCGAACGTTTTTGTCCGCGCGAACCAACCTGAAGTTGCTCTGGAAGGTGTATTTGAACATGGGCCACGCGAATATGCAACAACATTCGGGTCGTTGGATGCTTTTCCCTACGCCTGTAGGGATCCATGCGCTTCCTTAGCATTTGTCGGCGGGCACGACCGTCATCGCGGGCGCCGAACTTTTCTGTGCAAGCGAACCAAGCTGAAGTTGTTCAGGAAGGTATATTTGAACATGGGCCACCCGAATATGGAACAACATTCGGGTCGTTGGATGCTTTTCCTTATGCTTATAGGGATCCATGCGCTTCCTTAGCATTTGCCGGCAGGCACGGCCGTCATCACGGGCGCCGAAGTTTTCGGTGCGCGCGAACCAAGCTGAAGTTGCTCTGGTAGGTGTATTTGAACATGGGCCACCCGAATATGCAACAACATTCGGGTCGTTGGATGCCTTTCCTTACGCCTATAGGGATCCAGTTTCTTCCTTCGCATTTGTTTGGCAGGCACGGCCGTCATCGCGGGCGCCGAACCTTTATGTGCGCGCGAACCAAGGTGAAGTTTCTCTAGAAGGTGTATTTGAACTCGGGCCACCCAAATATGCAACAACATTCGGGTCGTTGGATGCTTTTCCCTACGCATATAGGGATCCATGCGCTTCTTTAGCATTCGTCCGCAGGCACGACCGTCATCGCGGGCGCCGAACTTTTCTGTGCGCGCGAACCAAGCTGAAGTTCCTCTGGAGCGTGTATTTCAACATTGGCCACCTGAATTTGCAACAAAATCCGGATCGTTTGATGCTTTTCCCTACGCCTATAGGGATCCATGCACTTAGCATTTTTCGGGCGCCGAACTTTTCCGTTTGTGCGAACCAAGCTGAAGTTGCTCGAATAGGTGTATTTGAACATGGGTCACCCAAATATGCAACAATATTTGGGTCGTTTGATGCTTTTTTCTACGCATTTAGGGATCTATGCGCTTCCCTAGCATTTGTCGGCGGGCACGGCCGTCATCGTGGCCGCCGAACTTTTCTGTGCGTGCGAACCAAGCTGAAGTTGCTTGAATAGGTGTATTTGAACATGGGCCACCCGAATATGCAACAACATTCGGGGCGGGGTGATGGAAAGAGGGACAATGGGGCGGGGTGATGGAAAGAGGGAGAATGGGGCGGGGTGATGGAAGGAGGGAGAATGGGGCGGGGTGATGGAAGGAGGGAGAATGGGGCGGGGCGATGGAAAGCGGGAGAATGGGGCGGGGCGATGGAAAGCGGGAGAATGGGGCGGGGCGATGGAAAGCGGGGGAATGGGGCGGGGCGATGGAAAGCGGGGGAATGGGGCGGGGCGATGGAAAGCGGGAGAATGGGGCGGGGTGATGGAAAGCAGGAGAATGGGGCGGGGTGATGGAAAGCGGGAGAATGGGGCGGGGTGATGGAAAGCGGGAGAATGGGGCGGGGTGATGGAAAGCGGGAGAATGGGGCGAAGTGATGGAAAGCGGGAGAATGGGGCGGGGTGATGGAAAGCGGGAGAATGGGGCGGGGTGATGGAAAGCGGGAGAATGGGGCGGGGTGATGGAAAGCGGGAGAATGGGGCGGGGTGATGGAAAGCGGGAGAATGGGGCGGGGTGATGGAAAGCGGGAGAATGGGGCGGGGTGATGGAAAGAGGGAGAATGGGGCGGGGTGATGGAAAGAGGGAGAATGGGGCGGGGTGATGGAAAGCAGGAGAATGGGGCGGGGTGATGGAAAGCAGGAGAATGGGGCAGGGTGATGGAAAGCGGGAGAATGGGGCAGGGTGATGGAACGAGGGAGAATGGGGCGGCGTGATGGAAAGCGGGAGAATGGGGCGGGGTGATGGAAGCGGGAGAATGGGGCGGGGTGATGGAAAGCGGGAGAATGGGGCAGGGTGATGGAAGCGGGAGAATGGGGCGGGGTGATGGAAAGCGGGAGAATGGGGCGGGGTGATGGAAAACGGGAGAATGGGGCGGGGTGATGGAAAGCGGGAGAATGGGGCGGGGTGATAGAAAGCGTGAGAATGGGGCGGGGTGATGGAAAGAGGGAGAATGGGGTGGGGTGATGGAAAGCGGGAGAATGGGGCGGGGTGATGGAAGGAGGGAGGATGGGGCGGGGTGATGGAAAGCGCGAGAATGGGGCGGGGTGATGGAAAGCGGGAGAATGGGGCAGGGTGATGGAACGAGGGAGAATGGGGCGGCGTGATGGAAAGCGGGAGAATGGGGCGGGGTGATGGAAGCGGGAGAATGGGGCGGGGTGATGGAAAGCGGGAGAATGGGGCAGGGTGATGGAAGCGGGAGAATGGGGCGGGGTGATGGAAAGCGGGAGAATGGGGCGGGGTGATGGAAAACGGGAGAATGGGGCGGGGTGATGGAAAGCGGGAGAATGGGGCGGGGTGATAGAAAGCGTGAGAATGGGGCGGGGTGATGGAAAGAGGGAGAATGGGGTGGGGTGATGGAAAGCTGGAGAATGGGGCGGGGTGATGGAAAGTGGGAGAATGGGGCGGGGTGATGGAAAGCGGGAGAATGGGGCGGGGTGATGGAAAGTGGGAGAATGGGGCGGGGTGATGGAAAGTGGGAGAATGGGGCGGGGTGATGGAAAGAGGGAGGATGGGGCGGGGTGATGGAAAGCGGGAGAATGGGGCGGGGTGATGGAAGCGGGAGAATGGGGCGGAGTGATGGAACGCGGGAGAATGGGGCGGGGTGATGGAAAGCGGGAGAATGGGGCGGGGTGATGGAAAGCGGGAGAATGGGGCGGGGTGATGGAAAGCGGGAGAATGGGGCGGGGTGATGGAAAGAGGGAGAATGGGGCGGGGTGATGGAAAGCGGGAGAATGGGGCGGAGTGATGGGAAGCGGGAGAATGGGGCGGAGTGATGGAACGCAGGAGAATGGGGCGGGGTGATGGAACGCGGGAGAATGGGGCGGGGTGATGGAAAGAGGGAGAATGGGGCGGGGTGATGGAAAGCGGGAGAATGGGGCGGAGTGATGGGAAGCAGGAGAATGGGGCGGAGTGATGGAACGCGGGAGAATGGGGCGGAGTGATGGGAAGCGGGAGAATGGGGCGGGGTGATGGAAAGAGGGAGAATGGGGCGGGGTGATGGAAAGAGGGAGAATGGAGCGGGGTGCTGGAAAGCGAGAGAATGGGGCGGGGTGATAAGAAGCGGGAGAATGGGGCGGGGTGATGGGAAGCGGGAGAATGGGGCGGGGTGATGGAAAGCGGGAGAATGGGGTGGGGTGATCGAAAGCGGGAGAATGGGACGGGGTGATGGAAAGCGGGAGAATGGGGCGGGGTGCTGGAAAGCGGGAGAATGGGGCGGGGTGATGGAAAGCGGGAGAATGGGGCGGGGTGATGGAAAGCGGGAGAATGGGGCGGGGTGCTGGAAAGCGGGAGAATGGGGCGGGGTGCTGGAAAGCGGGAGAATGGGGCGGGGTGATGGGAAGCGGGAGAATGGGGCGGGGTGATGGGAAGCGGGAGAATGGGGCGGGGTGATGGAAAGCGGGAGAATGGGGCGGGGTGATGGAAAGCGGGAGAATGGGGCGGGGTGCTGGAAAGCGGGAGAATGGGGCGGGGTGCTGGAAAGCGGGAGAATGGGGCGGGGTGATGGAAAGCGGGAGAATGGGGCGGGGTGATGGAAAGAGGGAGGATGGGGCGGGGGCTGGAAAGAGGGAGAATGGGGCGGGGTGATGGAAAGCGGGAGAATGGGGCGGGGTGATGGAAAGCGGGAGAATGGGGTGGGGTGATGGAAGCGGGAGAATGGGGCGGGGTGATGGAAAGCGGGAGAATGGGGCGGGGTGATGGAAAGCGGGAGAATGGGGCGGGGTGATGGAAAGCGGGAGAATGGGGCGGGGTGATGGAAAGCGGGAGAATGGGGCGGGGTGATGGAAAGCGGGAGAATGGGGCGGGGTGATGGAAAGCGGGAGAATGGGGCGGGGTGATGGAAAGCGGGAGAATGGGGCGGGGTGATGGAAAGCAGGAGAATGGGGCGGGGTGATGGAAGCGGGAGAATTGGGCGGGGTGATGGAATGAGGGAGAATGGAGCGGGGTGATGGAAGGAGGAAGAATGGGGCGGGGTGATGGAAGGAGGGAGGATGGGGCGGGGTGATGGAAAGCGGGAGGATGGGGCGGGGTGATGGAAAGCGGGAGAATGGTGCGGGGTGATGGAAAGCGGGAGAATGGTGCGGGGTGATGGGAAGCGGGAGAATGGGGCGGGGTGATGGGAAGCGGGAGAATGGGGCGGGGTGATGGAAAGCGGGAAGCGGGAATGGGGCGGGGTGATGGAAGGAGGGAACGTGGAGGGGTTCTCTCCGCTACGAGGGGAGAGAACGTGGAGGGGTGAGAACATTCTCCCGCTTTCCATCACTCCACCCCATCCTCCCGCTTTCCATCACCCCGCCCCATTCTCCCGCTTTCCATCACCCCGCCCCATTCTCCCGCTTTCCATCACCCCGCCCCATTCTCCCGCTTCCATCACCCCGCCCCATTCTCCCGCTTTCCATCACCCCGCCCCATTCTCCCGCTTTCCATCACCCCGCCCCATTCTCCCTCTTTCCAGCACCTCGCCCCATCCTCCCTCTTTCCATCACCCCGCCCCATTCTCCCTCTTTCCATCACCCCGCCCCATTCTCCCGCTTTCCATCACCCCGCCCCATTCTCCCGCTTTCCATCACCCCGCCCCATTCTCCCTCTTTCCATCACTCCGCCCCATTTGTTGGTGCAACCCTACGGTTTGCACTCGGCTTGTTGTCCGTGTGCGTGAATGTGTGTGTGTATGGAATGGTATGAGGGCATGGGATAATATATATTTCATGCTTATAATTGTGTGTGAATGTTGAGTCATGATGTCGAGTGTGTGTGTCGAGTCAATAGCGAGTTATCGCTAGACGCGTGTTACGCGGTCGTTTGTGTCTCGCGCGCGGTTTCTATATTGTCGTGCGCGGTTTCTATTTTGTCCTGTGTCGAACGTTCGGCGTGTCGCAGGTGTGTGCAGCAGACCCATCAAGAACTCAAGGATGAGTTTGTGATGAAGAGCCCGAGCCTTGGTGTCAAGCCTCAAGTGATTTCGAAGCTCGCCAAAAGGGTACACCTCAAGATATTGAAGATAGTTACATTACTTTGTGTAGTGTAACATTTCACTTGGTGTAGGCCCTAGTGAAGGGTAGTTTCGAGACCCTTCGTGGTTGGGGACAGTGTGGCACTGTTCCACATCACTGTACCTCGGCTCTTGGGGTTTGTAGGAGCTGGGAGTCATTCCCAACTCGTAACTCTTCCTATCTTGTGTTCTAAGACTATAGTGGCTGCCATAGTACCGTTCGTTCAAACCGACGCTGTGTCGTCAATTCTTTATCAAATCGTGCAATCTAAATTGCTAATTGTAGACGACGTGAAGACGCTCCAGATCCAATTTGAATCAAGCCATTTGCAGCTGTGAGCAGAACGCTATCAATGTTTGAAGCCGCTGTGCAGAAATCCGTCTGTGCTCTCTATCTTTCGTTTTAGGCACATTCAAGCCTATTGTGACTATAACAAGTGGTATCAGAGCCCCTTGGAGCAGTTTCGACAATGTCTGGACCTGAGGAAAGGGGTGGCAGAGGTGCTGGCTGCAGTGGAGAAGCTCAAGCTCAAGGCCAACCCCGTGATTCAGCCATGGCGCCCATGCAACCAAGTCTTGGCCCACCTAGGGATGAGCCTAGGGTGTTTGGGCTTGACAAGTTCAACGGTGACAACTTTGCTGAATGGTCCTTCAAGATGGAGAACATCTTTGACCACTATGACCTGCTGGAGGTGATGGAAGGAACGGAGAAGCGCCCCGAGAACGACCCGAAGAAGAGCCCGTGGGTGCGGAAGAGCGCACAAGGCTATCTCTTACTTGGGCAAGCGTTGGGGAGCAGTCAGATCCGTCACATCAAGCCATTCCAGCGTGAACCAGAGAAAGGACCAAAGGCATGGGCTGCTCTCAAGGGTGTACATGCTCCTGCAACAGCGGCGGTAGCGGTGGTGTTGGAACGGCAAATGGCGGCACTACGAATTGAAGAAAACGAAGCGGTTGAAGAAGGGGTGCAGAAATTCTTCGACTTGTTGACGCGGCTTGAGGGAGCTGATTTGAACTACAGTGAGCTCCAAAAGAAGACCAAGTTGCTGGCCTTACTCCCAGAGTCATGGTCCTCGCTCATCATCAACCTTAATCGCGACTTGCCCCGCCTCTCGCTTGAAGACGTGAAGCGAGCTATCCTTCAAGAGGATTTCCGCCGCCGTGAGTTGGCGAGTGCGGATGGCGCTGGGGCAGCGAGCATCGGCCGTGGATATGGTCGAGGAAGAGGCAGAGGACGAGGGGGAGGAAGGTTTGGTGGCAGCAACTTCGGCGGAGGCCGCAGGAGTGGCGGTTACGGCAGCGACGACAAGAGCTACGGACGCGGTCGCGGCCGATTCGACGGCGAGTGTCACTATTGCCACAAGAGCGGACACATGTGGCGCGACTGCTACAAACTCCCTGACGGTTGGACCCCTGCTCAAGGCCAAGAGGGTAGAGGAGCAGGAGGAGGGAGAGGACGAGGCCGTGGAGGCCGTGGCGGTCGCGGTGGCGGAGCTGCAAACATGAAGAGCGGAGACAACGACAAGGACCCGAGCGACGATCGATACCCGGGTCTATTCTACTTCGTGTCGACGCAAGTACCGGCTGGTCCAGAGAAGGATGAAGGCTTTGAGGAGCCAGCAGCTGTGGGGAAGGTGACCCTACACCCCCTGGACTATTGGGTGATTGATAGTGGCGCTACCTATAGCATGACACCTCGCCCGGACTTGCTCACCGAACTCGAGCCGTCACCGGTGAAGCATGTCACATCGGCTTTGGGACAGCGAGCAGAGGTGAAAGGCATGGGCAAGGCCATGTTCAAGGGTGCTGATGGGAAGATGGTGGGCCTCAAGAACGTGCTTTGGGTGCCCAGCCTTGCTGCAAACCTGATTTCCGTGCGGCGGTTGGCAAAGGCCGGCATGGACACGAACTCGAAGGGAGCCAAGACCTACACCGCAAGGCTTGGCGATCGAATTCTTTGGGACCTTCATGAGGACAGGGATGTCTACAACGAGATGTGGCAGATCCCAGTGGTCCCTATGCCTAAGGAGAGGCAAGTGGCAGCAAGCATCAGCACCAAGGATGGAGCGGTCGGTAGCGACGATGACGCGAACGGTCGCGCTAAGGAGAATGAGCTCAAGAAGAGCAAACCTGGAGGGACCAGCAAGTTCAGTGAACCTAAGGAGAGTGGTGCAGCAACCAAGGAGCAGCAAAAGGGTGAGGAGAACCCAGAGGCAGCAGCGGAGGAGGACTACGGAGAGAGTATGTGGGGCGCTATTGCGAGCGCGGCATTCTCCAATCCAACTTCGGCTACGGGGGAGTGTGATTGGCTCACCTTGCATCGGCGCATGGGGCATGTGGCCCTGCCCATCTTGCAGCAGCTAGTGAAGAATGAGATGGTTGCTGGCATACGTGTGAAGGGGGAGCCCGATGAGGTGCTTGGCTGCCCGACGTGCATTCAAGCCAAGTTCACCCGGTTTCCGTTCCCTAGTTCGGAGGCAACGGCAAAGGCACCGCTTGATGAGGTGGTGATGGACGTGGTGGGCCCCCTGAAGCTTGGAGCTGCTGGAGCTGAGTATTTTCTCACCATTGTCGACGTCTACACCCGCATGACTTGGGTGTACGTGCTGGCCAAGAAGAGCGACGTGGCTGAAACGTTGAAGACGGATTGGTTCCCGATGGTGGAGCGGCAACAAGACCGTCTAGTCAAGTCAATCCGCACCGATCGAGGGGGAGAGTTCCTGAGCAAGGAGTTTGGGTTGTGGCTGAAGAAGAATGGTATTCGGCACTCCCTCACCATGCCATACTCCCCTGCAATGAACGGCATCGCCGAGCGAGCGAACCGCACAATCACGGAGGCGGCACGCGGGTTGCTCATTGAAGCCGGGCTACCCGACTATTTCTGGCCTGATGCGGTGCGGAGCGCGTGTGTGGCCAAGAACAGAGCCTTGACTCATGTGGGAGTAGACAAATGGGTGCCCTATGTGGAGTGGCTAGGAAGGAAGCCAAAGGTGGATATGCTTCGGGTGTTCGGGTGCATGTGCATGGCGCTCGTGCCTAAGCATCTTCGGCACAACAAGCTTGGTGCCAAGGCGGTGTGGGCCGTGCACTTGGGCATGGATCAAAACAGCAAGGGATGGCTTCTTTGGGACCCATTCACCAAGAAGTTCTTGGTGAGCAGGGACTGCAAGTTCATGGAGAACTTCATGTACAAGGATTGGAAGGCGGAGAATGAGGCGAAGATAGGCGTGCGGTTTGGGGAGGTGAAGAGTTCCGGTTTGGAGCATGTGGAGCTGCCTTTGGAACTGAGCAGCGGCAGCACAACCACAAGGCAATCCTCCCTTGTGAATGGGGGAGAGGAGGCCAATGATGCAGAGGAAGAAGAGGAGGAGGTGCAGCAAGTGAGCGAGCGTGCATCGTCACTCCCTTCCCGTACTACGAGTGCTCCACGGATTCGAGCCACACCGCAGCAACGCCAAGGCCTTCAAGTCCCTGCAGCTGAGGAGGAAGGAAGGGGGAAGAGGAGAGTTCAACCCCCTAATAGGCTGACCTATGATGCGCCGGGAAAGCAGGGCAAGACAGCCCTGGCCGGAGCGGCAATGATGGTCGGAGACGACGAGGAGAGTGACTACGAGGAGTGTGCCTTCGCGTTCTTCTCTCCGGTGGAGATGCCGGGAGAACCAGCAACTCTCAAGGAGGCCTTGGAGATTAGTGATGCTGAGGAGTGGAAGAAGGCAATGGAGAGTGAGCTGAAGAGCATTGAGGAGAACAGCACGTGGGAATTGGTGGAGCTACCGGAGGGGCGTAAGGCGATTACGTCCAAGTGGCTCTTCAAGATCAAGTCCGACGCCGACGGCAAGATCGAGCGCTACAAGTCTAGGCTTGTGGCGAAGGGGTACCAGCAGAAGGAGAAGGTGGACTATAAGGAGTTGTTTGCTCCTGTGGTGAAGCCGACGACGCTGAGAACCCTACTCGCGGGAGCTGCCATCAAAGGATGGGTGGTGAAACAAATGGATGTCACAACGGCATTCCTCAACGACGTCCTTGAGGAAGAGATTTTTATGGCGCAGCCAGAGGGGTTTGATGATGGTAGTGGCAGAGTTCTGAGGCTGAAGAAGGCCCTTTATGGACTGAAGCAGGCCCCTATGTAGTGGTACTTGAAGCTGCGAGGAGTGTTGGAGGGGATCGGCTTCACTCCCTCAACGCTCATCATCACTCCTTGTTCATGCTTGGCGAGGGGGAGCAGAGGAGTTTCATGGTGGTTTATGTGGATGACATCCTCATTTTCTCACCCTCTTCTGACCTTGTGAAGGAGGTGATGCTGAAGCTTCAAGACAAGTTCAAGTGCAAGGCCCTTGGTGACGTGAGCTTCTACCTTGGGCTCCACATCGAACGAGATGTGGAGAAGCGGTGCATGCGGGTGCATCAACGAAAGTACCTGGAGGCATTGGCTGCCAACTTTGGGCAGAGTGAAGGCCATGTGGCTACACCCTTTCCCTCTGGGTTCAAGTGTGTGAAGGGACCAGAGGAGGAGAGCGTTGGTGAAGAGGAGAGGCGCCGTTTTCACTCGTTGGTGGGCAGCCTTATGTATGCGGCGGTAAACACCCGACCGGACGTCGCGTTTGCTACCGGGCAGCTGGCTAGGGTTGTGCAATGCCCTAATGAGGAGCAGGTAGCAGCTGGAATGAGGGTGGCCAAGTATCTTGGCCAAACACCGACCGTTGGGCTGCAATACTCGGCGGCGGCACAAAGGCGCCAAAAGGGCGCGGATGGTGTTGAACCCGGGCGTTTGTTCCTCACCGCCTACTCGGATGCTTCATATGCATCAGAACCAGAGGACATGACAAGTGTGGGAGGCTTCATATGCTGTGTTGGTGGAGGCCCAACTGCTTGGGAGAGCAAGAAGCAGGTTGACCAAGCTTTGAGCTCGGTGGAGTCCGAGTACATGGCACTCTTCCGTGCCGTACGGGAGATTGTGTGGCAGCGGCGTTTGTTGGCTGAATTGGGGGAGGAGCAGCAAGGACCTACCCCACTGTACTGTGACAGCCAGGGTGCCATTGCTCTTGCTAAGAACCCTGTGTTGCATGGACTCACGAAGCACATGAGGGTGAAGTGGCATTGGACGAGGAGCATGGTAACCGCGGGTGAAGTTGAGTTGCGCTACGTGAAGACCACGGGGCAGCCGGCTGACATGATGACCAAGAGGCTGGTGGAGCAGCAGCATTGGAAGTGTTGCAAGCTGGCTGGGATGGCTCTGAACTGAGAGAGCAACATATCCTAAGGCCAACAATCCGAGGGGGAGTTTGTTGGTGCAACCCTACGGTTTGCACTCGGCTTGTTGTCCGTGTGCGTGAATGTGTGTGTGTATGGAATGGTATGAGGGCATGGGATAATATATATTTCATGCTTATAATTGTGTGTGAATGTTGAGTCATGATGTCGAGTGTGTGTGTCGAGTCATTAGCGAGTTATCGCTAGACGCGTGTTACGCGGTCGTTTGTGTCTCGCGCGCGGTTTCTATTTTGTCGTGCGCGGTTTCTATTTTGTCCTGTGTCGAACGTTCGGCGTGTCGGGGACATTGTTCTCGGGGACATTGTCGAAACTGCTCCAAGGGGCTCTGATACCACTTGTTATAGTCACAATAGGCTTGAATGTGCCTAAAACGGGAAATCGGGAGGATGGGGCGGGGTGATGGAAAGCGGGAGAATGGGGTGGGGTGATGGAAAGCGGGAGAATGGGGCGGGGTGATGGGAAGCGGGAGAATGGGGCGGGGTGATGGAAAGAGGGAGAATGGGGCGGGGTGATGGAAAGAGGGAGAATGGGGCGGGGTGATGGAAAGCGGGAGAATGGGGCGGGGTGACGGAAAGCGGGAGAATGGGGCGGGGTGACGGAAAGCGGGAGAATGGGGCGGGGTGATGGAAAGCGGGAGAATGGGGCGGGGTGATGGAAAGCGGGAGAATGGGGCGGGGTGATGGAAAGCGGGAGAATGGGGCGGGGTGATGGGAAGCGGGAGAATGGGGGGGGGTGATGGAAAGCGGGAGAATGGGGCGGGGTGATGGAAAGAGGGAGAATGGGGCGGGGTGATGGAAAGCGGGAGAATGGGGCGGGGTGATGGAAAGAGGAATGGGGCGGGGTGATGGGAAGCGGGAGAATGGGGCGGGGTGATGGAAAGCGGGAGAATGGGGCGGGGTGATGGAAAGCGGGAGAATGGGGCGTGGTGATGGAAAGCGGGAGAATGGGGCGAGGTGATGGAAAGCGGGAGAATGGGGCAGAGTGATGGAAAGCGGGAGAATGGGGCGGCGTGATGGAAAGCGGGAGAATGGGGCGGGGTGATGGAAAGCGGGAGAATGGGGCGGGGTGATGGAAAGAGGGAGAATGGGGCGGGGTGATGGAAAGAGGGAGGATGGGGCGGGGTGATGGAAGGAGGGAGGATGGGGTGGGGTGCTGGGAATCGGGAGGATGGGGCGGGGTGATGGAAAGCGGGAGAATGGGGTGGGGTGATGGAAAGTGGGAGAATGGGGCGGGGTGATGGAAAGCGGGAGAATGGGGCGGGGTGATGGGAAGCGGGAGAATGGGGCGGGGTGATGGAAAGCGGGAGAATGGGGCGGGGTGATGGAAAGAGGGAGAATGGGGCGGGGTGATAGGAGGGAGGATGGGGCGGGGTGCTGGAAAGCGGGAGAATGGGGCGGGGTGATGGAAAGCGGGAGAATGGGGCGGGGTGATGGAAAGCGGGAGAATGGGGCGGGGTGATGGAAAGAGGGAGAATGGGGCGGGGTGATGGAAAGAGGGAGAATGGGGCAGGGTGATGGAAGGAGGGAGGATGGGGCGGGGTGCTGGAAAGCGGGAGAATGGGGCGGGGTGATGGAAGGAGGGAGGATGGGGCGGGGTGATGGAAAGCGGGAGAATGGGGCGGGGTGATGGAAAGCGGGAGAATGGGGTGGGGTGATGGGAAGCAGGAGAATGGGGCGGGGTGATGGAAAGCGGGAGAATGGGGCGGGGTGATGGAAAGAGGGAGAATGGGCCGGGGTGCTGGAAAGCGGGAGAATGGGGCGGGGTGATGGAAGGAGGGAGGATGGGGCGGGGTGATGGAAATCGGGAGAATGGGGCGGGGTGATGGAAAGCGGGAGAATGGGGCAGGGTGATGGAAAGCGGGAGAATGGGGCGGGGTGATGGGAAGCGGGAGAATGGGGCGGGGTGATGGAAAGCAGGAGAATGGGGCGGGGTGATGGAAAGAGGGAGAATGGGGCGGGGTGATGGAAAGCGGGAGAATGGGGCGGGGTGATGGAAAGCGGGAGAATGGGGCGGGGTGATGGAAAGCGGGAGAATGGGGCGGGGTAATGGAAAGCGGGAGAATGGGGCAGGGTGATGGAAAGCGGGAGAATGGGGCGGGGTGATGGAACGCGGAAGAATGGGGCAGGGTGATGGAAAGAGGGAGAATGGGGCGGGGTGATGGAAAGCGGTAGAATGGGCAAGGGTGATGGAAGGAGGGAGAATGGGGCGGGGTGATGGAAAGCGGGAGAATGGGGCGGGGTGATGGAAAGCGGGAGAATGGGGCGGGGTGATGGAAAGCGGGAGAATGGGGCGGGGTTATGGAAAGCAGGAGAATGGGGCGGGGTGATGGAAAGCGGGAGAATGGAGCGGGGTGATGGAAAGTGGGAGAATGGGGCGGGGTGATGGAAAGCGAGAGAATGGGGCGGGGTGATGGAAAGCGAGAGAATGGGGCGGGTGATGGAAAACGGAAGAATGGGGCGGAGTGATGGAAAGAGGGAGAATGGGGCGGGGTGATGGAAAGCGGGAGAATGGGGCGGGGTGATGGAAAGAGGAATGGGGCGGGGTGATGGGAAGCGGGAGAATGGGGCGGGGTGATGGAAAGCGGGAGAATGGGGCGGGGTGATGGAAAGCGGGAGAATGGGGCGTGGTGATGGAAAGCGGGAGAATGGGGCGAGGTGATGGAAAGCGGGAGAATGGGGCAGAGTGATGGAAAGCGGGAGAATGGGGCGGGGTGATGGAAAGCGGGAGAATGGGGCGGGGTGATGGAAAGCGGGAGAATGGGGCGGGGTGATGGAAAGCGGGAGAATGGGGCGGGGTGATGGAAGCGGGAGAATGGGGCGGGGTGATGGAAGGAGGGAGAATGGGGCGGGGTGATGGAAGGAGGGAGAATGGGGCAGGGTGATGGAAGGAGAGAGAATGGGGCGGGGTGATGGAAAGAGGGAGAATGGGGCGGGGTGATGGAAAGCGGGAGAATGGGGCGGGGTGATGGAAAGCGGGAGAATGGGGCGGAGTGATGGGAAGCGGGAGAATGGGGCGGGGTGATGGAAAGCGGGAGAATGGGGCGGGGTGATGGAAAGAGGGAGAATGGGGCGGGGTGATGGAAAGCGGGAGAATGGGGCGGGGTGATGGAAAGCGGGAGAATGGGGCGGGGTGATGGGAAGCGGGAGAATGGGGCGGGGTGATGGAAAGCGGGAGAATGGGGCGGGGTGATGGAAAGCGGGAGAATGGGGCGGGGTGATGGAAAGAGGGAGAATGGGGCGGGGTGATGGAAAGAGGGAGAATGGGGCGGGGTGATGGAAAGAGGGAGAATGGGGCAGGGTGATGGAAGGAGGGAGGATGGGGCGGGGTGCTGGAAAGCGGGAGAATGGGGCGGGGTGATGGAAGGAGGGAGGATGGGGCGGGGTGGTGGAAAGCGGGAGAATGGGGCGGGGTGATGGAAAGCGGGAGAATGGGGCGGGGTGATGGAAAGAGGGAGAATGGGCCGGGGTGCTGGAAAGCGGGAGAATGGAGCGGGGTGATGGAAAGCGAGAGAATGGGGCGGGGTGATGGAAAGCGAGAGAATGGGGCGGGGTGATGGAAAGCGAGAGAATGGGGCGGGGTGATGGAAAACGGGCGGGGTGATGGAAAGCGGGAGAATGGGGCGGGGTGATGGAAAGAGGAATGGGGCGGGGTGATGGGAAGCGGGAGAATGGGGCGGGGTGATGGAAAGCGGGAGAATGGGGCGGGGTGATGGAAAGCGGGAGAATGGGGCGTGGTGATGGAAAGCGGGAGAATGGGGCGAGGTGATGGAAAACGGGAGAATGGGGCAGAGTGATGGAAAGCGGGAGAATGGGGCGGCGTGATGGAAAGCGGGAGAATGGGGCGGGGTGATGGAAAGCGGGAGAATGGGGCGGGGTGATGGAAAGAGGGAGAATGGGGCGGGGTGATGGAAAGAGGGAGAATGGGGCGGGGTGATGGAAAGAGGGAGAATGGGGCGGGGTGATGGAAAGCGGGAGAATGGGGCGGGGTGACGGAAAGCGGGAGAATGGGGCGGGGTGACGGAAAGCGGGAGAATGGGGCCGGGTGATGGAAAGCGGGAGAATGGGGCGGGGTGATGGAAAGCGGGAGAATGGGGCGGGGTGATGGAAAGCGGGAGAATGGGGCGGGGTGATGGGAAGCGGGAGAATGGGGGGGGGTGATGGAAAGCGGGAGAATGGGGCGGGGTGATGGAAAGAGGGAGAATGGGGCGGGGTGATGGAAAGCGGGAGAATGGGGCGGGGTGATGGAAAGAGGGAGAATGGGCCGGGGTGCTGGAAAGCGGGAGAATGGAGCGGGGTGATGGAAAGCGAGAGAATGGGGCGTGGTGATGGAAAGCGAGAGAATGGGGCGGGGTGATGGAAAGCGAGAGAATGGGGCGGGGTGATGGAAAACGGATGAATGGGGCGGAGTGATGGAAAGAGGGAGAATGAGGCGGGGTGATGGAAAGCGGGAGAATGGGGCGGGGTGATGGAAAGAGGGAGAATGGGGCGTGGTGATGGAAAGCGGGAGAATGGGGCGGGGTGATGGAAAGCGGGAGAATGGGGCGGGGTGATGGAAAGCGGGAGAATGGGGCGTGGTGATGGAAAGCGGGAGAATGGGGCGAGGTGATGGAAAGCGGGAGAATGGGGCAGAGTGATGGAAAGCGGGAGAATGGGGCGGCGTGATGGAAAGCGGGAGAATGGGGCGGGGTGATGGAAAGCGGGAGAATGGGGCGGGGTGATGGAAAGAGGGAGAATGGGGCGGGGTGATGGAAAGAGGGAGGATGGGGCGGGGTGATGGAAGGAGGGAGGATGGGGTGGGGTGCTGGGAATCGGGAGGATGGGGCGGGGTGATGGAAAGCGGGAGAATGGGGTGGGGTGATGGAAAGCGGGAGGGGGTGACGGAAAGCGGGAGAATGGGGCGGGGTGACAGAAAGCGGGAGAATGGGGCGGGGTGATGGAAAGCGGGAGAATGGGGTGGGGTGATGGAAAGCGGGAGAATGGGGCGGGGTGATGGAAAGCGGGAGAATGGGGCGGGGTGACGGAAAGCGGGAGAATGGGGCGGGGTGACGGAAAGCGGGAGAATGGGGCGGGGTGATGGAAAGCGGGAGAATGGGGCGGGGTGATGGAAAGCGGGAGAACGGGGCGGGGTGATGGAAAGCGGGAGAATGGGGCGGGGTGATGGAAAGCGGGATAATGGGGCGGGATGATGGAAAGAGGGAGAATGGGGCGGGGTGCTGGAAAGCGGGAGAATGGGGCGGGGTGATGGAAAGCGGGAGAATGGGGCGGAGTGATGGAAAGCGGGAGAGTGGGGCGGGGTGATGGAAAGCGGGAGAATGGGGCGGGGTGATGGAAAGCGGGAGAATGGGGCGGGGTGATGGAAGCGGGAGAATGGGGCGGGGTGATGGAAGGAGGGAGAATGGGGTGGGGTGATGGAAGGAGGGAGAATGGCGCGGGGTGATGGAAAGCGGGAGAATGGGGGGGGGTGATGGAAAGCGGGAGAATGGGGCGGGGTGATGGAAAGAGGGAGAATGGGGCGGGGTGATGGAAAGCGGGAGAATGGGGCGGGGTGATGGAAAGAGGGAGAATGGGCCGGGGTGCTGGAAAGCGGGAGAATGGAGCGGGGTGATGGAAAGCGAGAGAATGGGGCGGGGTGATGGAAAGCGAGAGAATGGGGCGGGGTGATGGAAAGCGAGAGAATGGGGCGGGGTGATGGAAAACGGAAGAATGGGGCGGAGTGATGGAAAGAGGGAGAATGGGGCGGGGTGATGGAAAGTGGGAGAATGGGGCGGGGTGATGGAAAGAGGAATAGGGCGGGGTGATGGGAAGCGGGAGAATGGGGCGGGGTGATGGAAAGCGGGAGAATGGGGCGGGGTGATGGAAAGCGGGAGAATGGGGCGTGGTGATGGAAAGCGGGAGAATGGGGCGAGGTGATGGAAAGCGGGAGAATGGGGCAGAGTGATGGAAAGCGGGAGAATGGGGCGGCGTGATGGAAAGCGGGAGAATGGGGCGGGGTGATGGAAAGTGGGAGAATGGGGCGGGGTGATGGAAAGAGGGAGAATGGGGCGGGGTGATGGAAAGAGGGAGGATGGGGCGGGGTGATGGAAGGAGGGAGGATGGGGTGGGGTGCTGGGAATCGGGAGGATGGGGCGGGGTGATGGAAAGCGGGAGAATGGGGTGGGGTGATGGAAAGTGGGAGAATGGGGCGGGCTGATGGAAAGCGGGAGAATGGGGCGGGGTGATGGGAAGCGGGAGAATGGGGCGGGGTGATGGAAAGAGGGAGAATGGGGCGGGGTGATGGAAAGAGGGAGAATGGGGCGGGGTGATGGAAAGCGGGAGGGGGTGACGGAAAGCGGGAGAATGGGGCGGGGTGACAGAAAGCGGGAGAATGGGGCGGGGTGATGGAAAGCGGGAGAATGGGGTGGGGTGATGGAAAGCGGGAGAATGGGGCGGGGTGATGGAAAGCGGGAGAATGGGGCGGGGTGACGGAAAGCGGGAGAATGGGGCGGGGTGACGGAAAGCGGGAGAATGGGGCGGGGTGATGGAAAGCGGGAGAATGGGGCGGGGTGATGGAAAGCGGGAGAACGGGGCGGGGTGATGGAAAGCGGGAGAATGGGGCGGGGTGATGGAAAGCGGGATAATGGGGCGGGATGATGGAAAGAGGGAGAATGGGGCGGGGTGCTGGAAAGCGGGAGAATGGGGCGGGGTGATGGAAAGCGGGAGAATGGGGCGGAGTGATGGAAAGCGGGAGAGTGGGGCGGGGTGATGGAAAGCGGGAGAATGGGGCGGGGTGATGGAAAGCGGGAGAATGGGGCGGGGTGATGGAAGCGGGAGAATGGGGCGGGGTGATGGAAGGAGGGAGAATGGGGTGGGGTGATGGAAGGAGGGAGAATGGCGCGGGGTGATGGAAAGAGGGAGAATGGGGCGGGGTGATGGAAAGCGGGAGAATGGGGCGGGGTGATGGAAAGCGGGAGAATGGGGTGGGGTGATGGAAAGCAGGAGAATGGGGCGGAGTGATGGGAAGCGGGAGAATGGGGCGGGGTGATGGAAAGCGGGAGAATGGGGCGGGGTGATGGAAAGAGGGAGAATGGGGTGGGGTGCTGGAAAGCGGGAGAATGGGGCGGGGTGATGGAAAGCGGGAGAATGGGGCGGGGTGATGGGAAGCGGGAGAATGGGGCGGGGTGATGGAAAGCGGGAGAATGGGGCGGGGTGATGGAAAGCGGGAGAATGGGGCGGGGTGATGGAAAGAGGGAGAATGGGGCGGGGTGATAGAAGGAGGGAGGATTGGGCGGGGTGCTGGAAAGCGGGAGAATGGGGCGGGGTGATGGAAGGAGGGAGAATGGGGCGGGGTGATGGAAAGAGGGAGAATGGGGCGGGGTGATGGAAAGCGGGAGAATGGGGCGGGGTGATGGAAAGCGGGAGAATGGGGTGGGGTGATGGAAAGCAGGAGAATGGGGCGGAGTGATGGGAAGCGGGAGAATGGGGCGGGGTGATGGAAAGCGGGAGAATGGGGCGGGGTGATGGAAAGAGGGAGAATGGGGTGGGGTGCTGGAAAGCGGGAGAATGGGGCGGGGTGATGGAAAGCGGGAGAATGGGGCGGGGTGATGGAAAGCGGGAGAATGGGGCGGGGTGATGGAAAGCGGGAGGATGGGGCGGGGTGATGGAAAGCGGGAGAATGGGGCGGGGTGATGGGAAGCGGGAGAATGGGGGGGGGTGATGGAAAGCGGGAGAATGGGGCGGGGTGATGGAAAGAGGGAGAATGGGGCGTGGTGATGGAAAGCGGGAGAATGGGGCGGGGTGATGGAAAGCGGGAGAATAAGGCGGGGTGATGGAAAGAGGGAGAATGGGGCGGATGATGGAAAGAGGGAGAATGGGGCAGGGTGATGGAAGGAGGGAGGATGGGGCGGGGTGCTGGAAAGCGGTAGAATGGGGCGGGGTGATGGAAGGAGGGAGGATGGGGCGGGGTGATGGAAAGCGGGAGAATGGGGCGGGGTGATGGAAAGCGGGAGAATGGGGCGGGGTGATGGAAAGCGGGAGAATGGGGCGGGGTGATGGGAAGCAGGAGAATGGGGCGGGGTGAAGGAAAGCGGGAGAATGGGGCGGGGTGATGGAAAGAGGGAGAATGGGCCGGGTTGCTGGAAAGCGGGAGAATGGGGCGGGGTGATAGAAGGAGGGAGGATGGGGCGGGGTGATGGAAAGCGGGAGAATGGGGCGGGGTGATGGAAAGCGGGAGAATGGGGCAGGGTGATGGAAAGCGGGTGAATGGGGCGGGGTGATGGAAAGCGGGAGAATGGGGCGGGGTGATGGAAAGCGGGAGAATGGGGCGGGGTGATGGAAAGCGGGAGAATGGGGCGGGGTTATGGAAAGCAGGAGAATGGGGTGGGGTGCTGGAAAGAGGGAGAATGGGGCGGGGTGATGGAAAGCGGGAGAATGGGGCGGGGTGATGGAAAGCGGGAGAATGGGGCGGAGTGATGGAAAGCGGGAGAATGGGGC